GAAAGAGTGAAGTGTGGTGGTTTCTACAGAGCCAAAAGCTTGCAAAACCGGGGTGGGGGGTTTGTAAGTGTCAGCCCCAGCGTTTCTTTTGTTCCAAAACAAAACACCCTCCTGCCAGCCCCCTTGGGTGTCATCCAAGGTGGCAGTTAAATTAAAGTAGGGTCATTTGAGATCAAAGTTGCTGCTGCAAACAGCAGTAACAATGAAGGGAAGAGAGGTTTTGTTTCCTTCAAAGACTGAAAAAGTGCATTTACCTTACACTCTTTTGAAACTGGATTTCCAGCGGTTTATAGCAGTTCTTTCAAGCTGCAGGAGGAAATTCCAGCTGCTGTGCTGTTGCACTGTTAATTTTGTTAAGCCTTTGTCAACCTTTTTTTCTTTTTTTTTCTTTTCTTGTAGATTATAGTACCTATAGCCAAGCTGCAGCTCAGCAGGGGTAAGTAGCATTACGGTCTTATCCTCTCTGTTTTAAAAAGATGTAATATAAGTATATAATAATTGTGGTTTAGTCTTAACTTGGGTATGTTTGTAAATCCTATGGTTTTCCTTTAGCTTTTAGATTTTGCATTGCCTTCGTATTTCAGCAGAAACCATTCGGATATGTGAAAATTGTCTTGTGATACATGTTTTGCGCAAGTCAAAAATACGGGCATGCGTTATAAATGTCTTTAAATTCATTTTACAGCTACAGCGCGTATGCACCTCAGCCAGCTCAAGGATATGCACAGACCGCCCAGGTAAAATGCGAGACGGTTTTATAATTGCTGCTGAATCACGTGCCTCCCAGTGAGCTACACGGGGCTCTGCCAGCCACAAAAAACGCTGAGCGACAACGTCAACATCTGTCATTAAAAGTTGTCTTGTAGCTTCCCACACAGCCCGAACTGCTTTCTTCAAGTGTACACAGCCTAAACATCAAGGAGCCTCAACAGTCCCCTTTGTCAATATATCCGTGCCTAAGGTGGTTGTTGTCGAGAGGGTTATAAAAGCCTAATTCTCGATGTACGTTTGGCACCACTGTGGTGGTGGGTGTTTTACTCAGCAGTGTAGGAGAGAAAAACCTTAAAAGAAAAAGGGGGAGGAAATTGCCATTTGTGAGATTGCCGCGGTTGGTCAAAGCAGGAGGAGAGAATAGATTTTTTTCATGGAGTTATTGTTGCTGAACTTATTAATACTCTCAGTTGGCTAGACTGCAAAGTGATGATGATCTTTAAGAGATTAATTAAACCGTGCTTATTTTTAATCCTTAAAATACAAGTTACTAAAACCACATTTGTATAGGCACTCCAAGTATGTTTTCTAAGGTAAGCTTTCGTCCTCGAAAAGTAGCCTAGGTTAATTTTCCTTCGCCTTTCCAGAAAGGTTTTTGAAGGGAAAATCCTGCTGCCTAAGAGTGCGTCTGTATTACAGAGATAAAAACCACCACGTTGTCATCTTGGAGCGTTAGTGAGCAGCTTTAAATTGGTTAATTCTGGTTGCAGCAACAGCTTGGCTTTGGTGCTGCAAGGGTGAGCAGGAGCTATCTTCCTCTGCCTGTGCCATGCTGCCTGCTGCTGCCTGCACTAGCCAGTCCAAGGCAGGTGAGGCTGCGTGAATACCACACTCGCTTGTTCCTGCGGCGGGGTGAGAAGGCCCTTTGCGAAAAATATCAGGGTTACAGGAGGAGCACGGGTTCAGTCTTGGCATTTGGCTCGGCTTAAATGAAGGTGACGGTAGCTTTTCTTTTGAATAAGTATTTTGAGACAGAACAATTGCAAGAACCGCTACCAAATGTGCGGGTTACGCGGAAGGACAAGTGTAAGCAGTCTGGCAAGCGTAAGAACAGAAGGCCTCAACAACATCCTCTAGCGTGAGATTAAAACAACTAACCAACTAAACTCAGCTGTAGGCAAATGGCCACGGGAGGTTTGCAGCGTTTCCTGCCTCTCGATGCATGAGCTTCCACAGACCGTGACCTATGTGCTCCGGTCAAGGCTTTTCTACTCTTGGTTAAGATCTGCGGGCTTGAGTTCAAGGAGGCTGGCTCTCCAGTAACACAGGCTTAGATCCCAAAAGGTGTTTAAGTTCCAGGCTCCCACAGGAGTCAGTAAATCCCTTTGGGAATCTGGACGTTAAGGCTGTCTTCACGTTGCTTCTTGAGCTGTAACTAGAGTTTTATCCTAAACCAAACTGCTGGCCGCACAAAGCTGTTGGAAGGCGGCTGGTGCCTGAAGTTTGAGCCGGCTGGTCCGTGGCACGGGGCTGAGGGAGCTGGTAAAACTGCAGCGCCGGGAGCTCTGCGCTGATCCAGTCAGGCTGTGCTGCCGATCGGATCGCTGCGGCTGAGGAGTTGCTTTGCGGTGCCGTCTTCAGGATTGAGGCGGATGATGGGCAGAAGCGGTCCTTTAGTGATAGTCTAGGCTTGAAAATGAGCTCCAGGGAAGGTGTGAGTTGAGAGCTGATCTCTCGCTGAATGCAAAGGCGCCAGGACGGGAGCAGCCGTCACCGCGCCAGTTTGGTGATGGCAAGCCCTTGGATGCTCCTGCTGAGCCCGTCCTCGGGTGCCTACGTAAACTCCTGTTTTTCAAACTATTCGCCAGTGGACATGAATATTCAGAATAACTTCACTGAAACCTTAAATAGGTTACTTCTAGTGAACACGAAAGCATTTTTACGCTGAAGTAACTGACCTGTTTTACTTTGTGTGCTTCTGCCCTCCGAGTAGTCCCGCTCCCCGTGTTTCACGTTAGCCCTCGGGAGGTACCTGTGAGCGTTGACGGGTGCCCAGGCAATTATGAGGAGCTGGATGCTATCGTGTTTTGCATTACGTAGAGCAGAGGCGTGTTGTGAAAATGTAAGAGGCTGCCCCTCCAGTCCTGGCATTGAAAAACTGCGTTTGTAACTTCGTTACAGATCTGAACCGAAATTTGCAGTAGCGCCCAAACTTTCACAGTAGCCTTGGCTTGGCTCTGGTTGCTTTCAGTGCATCAGGTAACACAGATCCCTCAGTCTGTGTACATCACTGAAACAGTCTGTGTGTATCTCTGCAACGCCTGTGAGTCCCTTCTGTTCATGAATTAAATTTGTGTGTCCTTTGGAGCAGACGTATGGGCAACAGAGTTACGGAACCTACGGACAACCCACCGACGTCAGCTACACACAGCCCCAGACGACCGCCACGTACGGGCAGACTGCGTACGCAACGTCCTACGGGCAGCCTCCTACCGGTAAGAGCCCCATGCCTGCAAGGCCTGACTTAATCCTTGAGTTGAGCTCAAGTCTGCATTGGGGAACTGCATCCCAAACCATACAGAATTCCTCTGGGCAGCTCTGATGTGGAAAGGGCTTCCTTCCTTCCTCAAGAGCCTGCCTTGAGCAAAGGGCAGTTTAAAATGATGCGAAGATGCAGGTGGGCTGAGAAGGAGTAAATCAACATGCCGGTTTAATTTTTCAGGGAACGTTTTGGGTGCTGGTTCATGCTGTGGAACCAAGCGTGGCTGCGGAGCGTACTGCGCTTAGAGCAAAGCAAACGCGAGCGGCGCGGCAGCGCTCCCTGGGAGCCTGTACCCTGGCTGCGCTTGAGAACCCGTGTCCTCAGTGCTTCGGTTGCCTAAAAATCAAATCAGTGGAAGTGATGTATGCCTGTTCTGATAGCGTACCCTCTACTTTTTGTCTTGCGCTTCCCACAGTAGAAGGGACCGGTACAGGTTTGACTATCCTGCTCACTCTTGCGGGGAAAACGCTGTCTCATCCTGTCTAAACTTGTGGTGTTAACCCTTTAGGTGTCACTTGGTTTTAGCGCTAAAAATGCCCAGCATCAGAGCGCGCGCACGCAATGACAGTAAGAATTTGCTAGGCTGCGATGGTGTTTGCCATCTCCGTATCTCTGTAAAACCTCCGAGCGGCGTACTCTATGGATAAAACCTCCTGAGCGCCAATGACCGATTCCTAAAGGGTAAACAGCATGGTGAGACACGTCCAGGCGTCTTGACGTCTTGCATGCTCCATGTTGTCTTTGGATTTCCAGTGCAGACGCGTACGTCACGTGTCCGTTAACGCGCTGTACACTACTCCAACATGTGCTCTTTGAACTGGAGTTTTGTACGTACGAGTGTCTTAATGTCTGAAAGAAACTATTGAGACATCGTTCAGTTCTGGTATATTCGGACTGAATATTTAGGAGACTTTGAAAAAGAAAATGGATTTTCCTCCACGTAATGCCCTGGGTGCCGTTTTCCGCAGATTTCATCCTTTGCTGTGAGAGACGTTACAAATGTCTGTTAGAGTGGGAGCTTGCTTAAATACTTCCCAAAGCAAGGGAATACCGGGCAATGGGGTATCTGGCCACAGAAGCCCTCGGGGAATGCTTCCCAAGGAAGAGGTGGAGAGAAAACATTATCCTATTGTCCGTCCAGTTACACGGCACTTAAAATATTGAACATCTCTGCAGGGATGAGGGAAGTTTCTGCCAGGCAGCTAGCGCGTGTCCTGCAGAATGAGAGCCAGTACCCTTTAGCTGGTGTCGCTGTGGGTTATCTACAGGTTTTTTTTCCTTTCATTTAAAAGTATATGGGCATAAATTGGCAGCAAAAAGGATTTGTGGACTTCCAGAATTCCTTTCTTAAAAATGTTTGAGTCCCTTAATCCTTACTGGACCCCAGTCCCGCAGGGGTCGCAGGAAGCTGCACTGTTCATGTTTTTGCTTGTCCCTTAAGAGTGTATTTGCTGGAGGAATAATAATATTAATCACCTTTTCTGCACAGCTGCTTCTTTTTAGGCAAAAAGCTTCTTTTTCTTTTCATCAAAAAAACCCAAAAGACTCAAGAAGTGGTCAAACAAAAGATCGTATCAGACCTTCGAGTACGATTTGCCTCAGTTGGTGTAGCGTTGGTCTGCGGCAGAACTGTTGATGTCGGTCTCCGGGCAGAGTGCCAGGTTGTATTTATTCTTCCTACACCTGCCTCTCCTTGAGGAGCCAGCGCTGTGCAAATGAGACCGATAGTGCTTAAAGCCTGTCTTCCTCGCTCTGTCCTCTGCCTTTCGTACTAAATAAAGCCTGGGGTGTCGCCTGGGGCTTACATCTTTATGCCCTAAGAGACATGCAATTTTTATGCTTGAATCTCAATTTATTTTTCCTAGGCGTCGCCTTTTTGTAGCAAAGGGATGTCTGCAATTACTTAAAAGCAGAGTGCCTTTTTTTGTCTTTGCCTGTTTTTTGTGTAACATGCCGTTGTGGTCAGGGAAATTCCAATCCTGTGCAGATACACCCTCTCGGGGCTCTGCAGGAACGGCAGAGACGGTTCCTCTGCATCGCCTCAGGTGAGCGCTGGTGGAGCCTTCCCTGGGGACCTTCCTGTCCCAAGCTCTCTGCCATCCAGCCTTGCACCGACTCCCGGGCCGCCCGAGGTGAGAGTCACCGCCCAAGTTGCGCTTCTTCCCTCCCCGGGGCTGAAGGAAAAGGTGTCTTGGAGTCACCTCATCGGTTTGTTACGGAGAAGAGGGGTCCGGGAGCCTGTGGGCTCCTCTGCAGCTCCCCGGACGGCAACGGGATTAGGGGATTAACCGGCACCACCAGATCTGTGGTCATGGTTTGCTCTTTAATCGCTGCGGTGTGTAAGCATGAATTACAAGAGTAAATAAAGAGCTGTATCTGTTGGGGTTATTGGCTTTCTTAGCGATGTCGTTTGGGGGTAAAGACATCATTTCAAATGTCCAAGTATGAATCTCCTTTAAGTAGCTACATGGGAATTACTCTTTAAAGACAGCCAGCCCCCACTTCTCTTTTTACCTGTGAAATTTAGGCTTATGTATATTTTAAGTTTCTAATGTATTTAGAATTTGAAACGAACACACCCATCGCTGTCTTGGCTACCGCAATAATCTGTTACACCAAAATAGAGCAGAGAGAGGGTAGCCTCTCCGTCCCCTTCTCCAGACGCCGCCGGTAGAAGATATGCATGCCAAACAGGAGTCAGCTCTCTTTGGGCACGCAGACCCCCAAGCTTTTAATACTGCTTGCAGCAGAGAGAACCCTTTAAAAACTGCTGCTAGCTGACGCGAAGCCTGCTTGTTTCAGAATAAATCTCTTTGAATCCAGTATTTTCAGTTGATGTTCTCTGAGGACCAAATCCTGCAAGCTTCCCCTCCGCCTGAAGAATTCCTAGACTTCAGTAAGGGTTTTGCCTGCAGGCTTGGATACTTTGAGAGGAAACTGAGCCACGTAACTGGACTTCTTAAGCAGGTTATCAAAGTTCTTCTGTTACCTTTTTCTTACAGTATCTGTTCTGCAGACTCACCGTTTATCTTGCCGCCTGGCAGCAGGAGGAGAGAGAAGTGATGTAATGTAAATGCCCCCCTCAAAAATACAGCTCTTGGGGATTTTCAGAGTACCTAAACTAAGTGGTTGAAATGAAAATTTAGACCAGTGGGATGTTAAATCACCGCCTTTTCTTTCTTTGGTACAAACCCTTCCTGCTTCCATCTAGGGCCAAACCATTAAAATTCAGGATTTTTTTTTTTCCCTCCCTTTTATTCTATCGACTGGGCAGAGCCAGGTGTTAGCAAACCTGCTCGCTTCCTTGATTCGAGAGGTTGGTGCTGCCAGTAACAGTGCTGAGAAAGGGGGCCCAGATTTTGGAGGACCGCCCTGTGGCTCTGGGTCTGACAAGAGCAGCCTAGGGCACGGCTGTGGCCTCAGCGGTACTTACTGCAGACTCTACTTACACAAACAGCAGGCTTTTTTAGTAAGTGGTCAGGCTTGGGCCAGTTCAAATAAGGATTCCTTTAACTTCTGGTGTCGGTGCTCTCTGTGGAAATGCTGTGGTGGCTGACATTTTAAGCGTTTGGACTGTATAAATTTGTCCGAGGCTCTAAAAATCATGCTCATTTTATCCTCTTCGGCATCATCCCATTCACCCTGCTCAGCAACACGCAAGAACAGGACTTTGCTTTTTGGAGAACTTCTCAGCAAAAAGGAATAATGACCGTGAAAGCTGATTTACTAGTGATTCGTGCACGTTATTTCCTGGTGGGAGACGAGCTTACTCTCTGGCTTTCGTGTTTCCAGGTTGGCAGCCCTGCGATGTGGAAGCCAGCCCGCAGCTTCCAAAGGAGGGCGGTAGCGTGACAAGCGTGGGGGGCCCAGGGCAGGAGGAATGAGGCTTGTGGGAGCGGGCAGCGGCTTTTAGGCTAGCTGTTGCAGGTGACAAGAGCGGACAGGCTTGCGTCCCCTTCATCAGGATCCCGAGGCTAACCAGAAAACTCAAAGAGTTCAGGACAGAAAGCTAAAGTTTGTTTTTTTAACTAATGTGCTGTGCAAACTTCCTCCTCTCACTTCTCTTTCTCTTTACTCGCTGATTCAGAGAGCCGTGGGGAAGGGTCCTGCTGCGGTAGCAGGGACAGCGAGATGTGGAAGTACTGCGGTGGGCCGGGAAGGCACGCTGTATTCTGCTGGAAGTGTATCGCTTTTTCAAATTAGGGAATTGAAATAAAAAGCTGCAGCTTGCCTACAATGCTGTGTAATTAGAAGGCAGACTATGTCACAAGTGTCCTATGTTTATTAAAAATAAGCAATGGAGAAGCTGTTATCTTAATTGATGCAATTAAGATCACATCAACAAGACTGAGACCAGTTAACTGCTCTTTGGCAATCCATGTTTTGTATTTTTAGTGAGTCAGCTTTTGCTAACAAAATTTTTAATTGATCTTTTTTCATGTAAGTCTCCGTTTCATAATTTCAAAACCTGCTTGCAAGGTTCTTAACTATAAAAAGCCACCGTGTTAATGCCAGGGTTATAGCTCACCGTTGTGACAAGCCAAATGGTCGGCTAAATTATACAGCGGCAGCTGCTGGAGGGATTAATTTAAATGGAGCTGTTTGGGGATCTTGGATGTTCTTGTGAAATTGTTCAGAAATAAATGTATGGTCTGTAAGCTTTTTACCTGAAACAAACTGAAATTCGAAGAAAGGTGGAGGTACATAAAACATCAGGAGCTAGCTTATGTGTCTTTTTTGACCTTTCTCTTCAGTTAAAGCAAATGTAAAGTGCTTTTCTTTTGTTTCCAGAATTACTGATTTAAAATAAGACTTCATAAATGGCTCAAAAAAACTTGTCGAGTCAGGCTGGTGCCATTTTGTGCTTTTATTTTTCAGTTGAAAGGATGGGACCGTGCTTCTTAAATCAATTGGATTTCTTTTACTTTAGGGCTAACAGGAGCTTTGTTTAGCCTTCCTGTGTTCAGAAGACGCTGCATGCCTCAGCTTGCCCTGTGTGCGCGTTATGACATGAGCCGTGAGCTTCAGTAGCTGTAAACAAACAGCCTTTGGATGCTGATCGAAGGGTGGCTTCCAGAAAGCTCCTTGGAGCGTGGTTTTTGGATGGCGAGGGTAGAGCTAGGGCTGTAGGCTGAGGCTTCCCAGGGCAGGGGGTTTCTCCGAGGAAGGCGAAGGGGCGGCGTGGGTTAGTTCATCGTTTTTGGCTTATCTGTGATATTTTTGCAGTGGGAAAATCAGTGCTGTACCCGAGGTCCGATAAACCGTCAACAGAAGCGCAGTAGTCTGAAATGGTATGAGTGAAGGTCGCCAAATTAATCTGACGAGGCTGTCGTCTGTTCTAGGTTATACCACCCCGACTGCACCCCCAGCGTACAGTCAGCCCGTCCAGGGATACGGCACAGCCGCCTACGATACGAACACCGCTACGGTTACCACCACCCAGGCTTCCTACGCAGCACCGTCCGCTTACGGCACCCAGCCCGCCTACCCAGCCTACGGGCAGCAGCCAGCAGCGTCCGCTCCCGCAAGGTAACGTCTGGTTCCTCTCTTCTTCCTCAGGCTGCGTTGGCTCTGCTGTCGGGGAGAGCCCCAGCACACCACCAGCTGAACTGGGGCCTGCTGGTTTTGCTTACACCTTTTCTCTCCCTGTTGCGCTTGAGCTTTGCTCTCGCCGCATCCGATCCCATTGCGTTTCAGGGCTGGGGGAAGCCGCGTAGGTTGGTTCTGCTCTGGCAGGGTGAGTCAGCGCCGTTACTGGGAGATGAACAGCAAAAATGGGCTCTTGACTCACGACGTAGAAGAGAAAATGGACCAGTCTGGTCTGATCTTGAGTCACGGGGTCAGCCAGGATACTGTTACGTGCTGTGGCTTCTGGAGTGGATGTACATGCTGTAGACAATTTCCTTTTTAAATCTCTTGTGTCTGGGCACTGTCAATAGTATATTTAGTTTAATTGTTTGCTCAGGATATGAAAAATTTAGACTATGTAATGGAAACTTGTTTAGTAGGGCGTAAAAACTGCTTTATTCATTTACCTGATGTTTGTAGCAACCACTTTGGTAAGGAAAGACGGAGCTTGGCACAGCTCTGTCCAATTACACTGCTAAGGATGAATCCTGACATCATTTAAAATAATTTTTTCCCAGCTTGTACAACAAAAGTAGCTTAACTCTTTTTACTCCGCTCTGATAAGCACTTAGAGATTAGAAACTGTGTGGGACAAATATAAAAGGGGGGGACATGGGAGTCATGTGCAAAGGGTTCTCTTTATTTTCAGGCCTCGAGGGTTAATACTAAACACAGAATCATGGAAGAGTTTGGGTTGGAAGGGACCTGTAAAGGTCATCTAGCCCAACCCCCAACATCCTTTCCCTTTCATCGGATAAGTGTATGGGGCAATACCTGCTTGCACTGGATTCTAAACCAAACAATGGTGCGTTTGACTGACAGCGTTTCTGGCTGCTTTTGAGCTAATTGTTTCCAAGCGTTGTGGAAAACCGGCTGGAGTGGAGGGGCGGTGCTGCCGACTGCTTTCCTGCCTGTTTCACATCCTCGACTCGATTCTAGAGCCAAAATTTAAATCTCTCTCCTTTGGTGTTATAACACAGCCGGTGAACAGAAGCTGTGGTGCTCTGCACTCTCTGTTCAGGGTGCTGCTCGGGCCTTTCCTCATGGCAGGGGAGTGCGCAAATACCCAGTTAGCAGGTGCTAAAGTGTTTAGTGTTTAACAAGCATAATTAGCTGCTGCCAGAGGGACGGACACCGATGTGATGCCAGCTTGTAATGCTACCCGAAGAAATAGGTAGTGCCGTTCCGTCCTGGGGGGGATCTGAGCGCCTTCACTGCTACCAGAGGTGGGGCTTTGCACCAACGTTTCCTTCTTGTTCGATATTGCTCCGTAGACCCCAGGATGGCAGCAAACCAGCAGAGACCAGCCAGCCGCAATCGAGTACGCCAGGCTACAGCCAGCCCAGCCTAGGGTATGGACAGAGCAACTACAGCTATCCTCAGGTGCCTGCCAGCTACCCCATGCAGCCGGTCACCGCGCCTCCCTCCTATCCTCCTACCAGGTAACGCTCCCAGCGCTCGAAGCCTCACGCAGCTGGCGCGGGAACTTTCAGCGTAGCTGGGGCAAAAGGGGTTTTCTCAAGGGATTTCAAACGAACAGATGTAAAAGGAGGTTTGGGGTCCTGGGAGGAGAGGGAGGCGTGGTTCTTGTTGGCTTACTTCTTGTCGTAGGGAAGATGCGGCTAGGATTGAGCGCGTGTCTCTGCATGCATACCTGCAGTAGCAAGGTGTAACGATGACAAATGTTTTTTAAGAAATTTCCTAGATAGGGGGTGTGTTACGGTGACCTCTTGCTGCCTCCTTACACGTGGCTTTGACAAGGGGCTCGCCTCTTCCCCTCAGGTGTCTTTGATGTGCTGATGCTGACTTGTAAAGCCTATGTTTTGAAATTCTCAAAGCCTGAGAGGCGTGAGGGGGGGACTGTTTTATTCTCCATCCACTGAAAATACTTCAGTGGCAAGGCAGAAGGGGAGACTGCTGCTTGCATTGCCACTGATTTTTGCCCTGGCGCTTCTGCCTCTTTCTGGAGGTACGAATAAATTGTGAACGGTCGCGTGGATTTTGCTTTTAGCCATCGTACCGGGCTTATTTTCCCTTCTGCCACCAGACTAGCCTCCGTAGGATGACTTCACCTTTTTAAATGGTTTACCAGAGTACATATGGCTTGTAATTGCATTACCTTCTAGCGCGAGCCACTTCTGCAGCCTAATGCACGTTGCCAGTGACTTGGCTCATCTTTCCAATGCTTTTGTCTTCCAGCTATTCCTCCACACAGCCAAGCAGTTACGATCAGAGCACTTACTCCCAGCAGAGCACCTACGGGCAACAGAGCACCTACGGACAACAGACTAGCTACGGCCAGCAAAGCAGCTACGCGCAGCAGCCGCCGCCAACTAGTTACCCACCCCAGACGGGATCCTACAGCCAGGCCCCGAGCCAGTACAGCCAGCAGAGCAGCAGTTACGGCCAGCAGAGTGAGTGTGCTTAGCAGAGCTGCGTGGTTGTGGAGGAAAGGGTCGGTCTCCTTTGCCCTCGCAGGGTGGGCTGCCTCTGAAGGAGGCTTGGCGTTACTTTGGGTCTAAAGCTTGCAGCTGCGTCAAAGGGAGAGCGTACTGTAGCTGGGTTTTGCCCCAAAACGGCGTGCCTGGTGCAGCGGCAAATTGTGATGCTCTCCTCGGCGCGGCGAAGGTGAACAGATGGTTGAAAAACACAGAAGTACAAAATAATCTTGTGGCTGGAGTGGGCAAGGCTTGGTGTAAACACCGGTGTTTGGCCGGGCGGCAGTTCTGCCGAAGTCATGCTGGTAGGGCCTAACGTAAAACTTGATTCTGCAAATGGAAAGCGGAGCATCCTTAAATTAACGCTGTTGCTGTAAGCGCTGTAGCAGGCTGAAGGCAGGTAAAAGGGCTTAAAAAGGGGACAGGCAGCCTCGACCCACTCTTGTCTGCAGCTCCCTAACGTGTTTGTTACAAACTTCCTCAGGCTCATTCCGTCAGGACCATCCTAGCAGCATGAACGTGTACGGACAGGAATCCGGAGGCTTTTCAGGCCCGGGAGAGAACCGGAATATGAGCGGCCCTGATAGCCGGGGCAGGGGAAGAGGGGGATATGATCGCGGAGGCATGAGCAGAGGTGGGCGGGGAGGAGGACGCGGTGGAATGGGGTAAGAGCAAATCTTTTCTCCTTTTATCTAATTCTGGTTTACCCATAGGATTTGAAATGGAAAGAAGGGACTGAAAGGTTGACATGCCCAACGGTACTTCCATGGAGAACATCTCTATGGCAGCATTGCTTCTAATCCATGGAAATATTATCCTAGGGGAAATAGGAGCAGGATCTATTTTGTTTTGCCCTGCAGCTGGTTGGGCCCCGGGGGGGGGGGGAATTAGGGTTATTGCTAAACCTGGAACTTTCAGCTCCCTTCGTGGTCACACAGAGGCGAAATCCTCTGCGGGGTTTAACAGTAACTCCGGATTGAACACACACAAACCTTCCGCCAGGTCCAGGAGTCATTCCCTGTGCCTCGGCAGCGGGGATCTTGGCAGCGCAGGTATGTACAAGGCAGAAGCCTCGTGTCAGCCCCGTGTTACGCCATCAGCCTCTTCACCTTAGCAGCAGCACGCAGAGCTGCGTCTGTAAGCGTACGGCTGCTCTCGAAGCCACGACTCTGAGTGGCCAGAACACTTAGAGCTTGGCGGGAGCGCGAAGAAAGACCCCGAGAAAGCAGAGGGACCTGGCCTGGCTCCCAGGACTGCTCCCCCTTGGAGCTCTCAGGTGTCTAAATCAGTTTGGCCATGGTAACCGGTGGCAAAATCTGGTTTGGTAAACCTACGCCTTCAGGTCAGCAGTCTGTCTCCCTGTCCGTGATGTTTGTTTTGCTAGCGGCGAGGAAGGAGGACTAATCCCACAGGCTCCTAAGAGAAGGAAGGTGTAGCTTTGTGTGTGTTCCATCCCTCACACCGTCGTTCAGAGCTATGCAGAGGGTCCCTAGGTGCCCGCTGGAGATGTGGCGTGGGATGCACGGCGCTAGCCCTGGTATTTCACGGGGCAGCCGGAATTGCAGCTTCTCCTCGATAGGCAACTTCTGAAGGTGTTTTACAACCCGGTGGCAACCGGAGTTTGGCAATCGATAGTCCCATTCTGCATAGCTCTGTCGAAATGAATTGAAGTGGCATGAAATCTTTATCGGAGAAATACAACTACCGGTGTACGGAAACAGAAGAAAAAGACCGGCTTGTGTTGGAACCCAGCCGGCTTGAATTGGCTTGAGTGGAACAGAGTTCCACGGTTCTGCATAAAGATTTCACCCATGCTGTATTTATCTCTAACGGTTTAAAGTAGATGTAGACACTTGAAATGTCTATCATCACATCTTAAAATTTCTAGCCCCTCCGGAGCTTCTCATGCAAAAGATTTGTCACCCGTCTCTGATTTCACGCCCTAATCCGAGCTTAAATTGCGTGCGTAGCGATTTCCACCTGGCTAGACCATTACAAAGGGTCCCCTGCCTTATGGACGTAGACTTTCTGCTGTCCATAGACAAGGCGGCCTTCCTATGAACGCCGAGGGGCAGGTAGGGGAACTCGGCCCCTCTTATCATGCTGTGGTGATGGATTTCAGTGTCTCCGGCAGGTAAGGAGCTCGATGTTATTAACGTGCCCTTTTTCATTGACTCAATTATTTTATATTTTCATTGGCTGTTAAACATGGAAACTTTTTAACATGCTTTGTCGCATTTATATGCTACAGGTTACAAAGTGAGAGCCTTGTATACACTTCAATACTTAAAAAGTACCCGTACTCAGTACTCAGCCGGCAGCATAATGAAAAGTGGGACTAGACACGGTGTCCATATGGAGAGGAAAAATATACATAGAATATTTTTAACCAAATGTATTCATTGTATAAATGGAATCCTTCTGTAACTTTGGTAACTGCATACTTGTTGTTTGGTAATAAAACCAGAGGAGGTATACTACTTTAGAATTGTGTAACGTTAAAAAGTGTAAACGTCTATGTTTAAAAAGAGAGACATTACGTAAATGGTGTGTACTTTAACAAAAGGAGGCAAAGCTGCATGCAACAGCTTGAAACTGTGTATTGACAACTTTTTTTTTTCCAGTATTAGAGGTGCAATACTTGCTAGAAAATAGGCGGTGCTCTCCCTCCTCTGCTCGTCGCCTTCCAAACAGCTTCTTGTCTCTCCAAAAAGAGCAAGAAACATCAAAATCCTTTTCAGGTGGCATTTTCCTAATTAAGCAGCGCTTGAAAGCAGTCTTAGCTGAACGCTTCAGCCAAAGCTTTTCACGAAAGCTGTGGCCCTGAGTTTGCATTGGCGCCTGCCGAAATCTTCCGTTCTGGTCTGTGTCCACAAAGCTGCACCCCAGGCCTTCGAGCCCCCGCTGTATTCTGTAAGTTCTCCCTCCACAGAGACTTGTTAAATTCAGTAGCGACCTGAATGTATGGCTTTATACCGAGGTTTTTAGCAGAAATGTCATCTGAACTGTGTTGTAGGTATCGCGTATGGTTGTCTCCTACCTTTTTTAACTGTTAATGTCAGGGACCCGCGGGCTCGTTTCGCTCCCGTGCTGCGAGAGGCTGAGGGTGCACCTTTATGTACACACAGCGGGGAGGGAGTTGACCAGCGAACGACCTCACAATTTCTCCGAAGCAAAAACCCAATTTATAACGCTCGAAAACATTTTTTGCCAAGTATTGCACTGATAATACCCATACAAGTAATGCAAGGGTACCGACAGCAAAGTGGTGTCTAAAACCAGACAAGCGAGGTTGCGTATATGTAAAGGAAATTTGAGCGAGCTGCCCTGAAGAAAGGCATAGTGCCGAGATGAGAGAGAGAGAGACAGATGCATTGTTTGGAGATGTTTAGCCAGTGCCCTTCTTCCCAGTGAGCCGCAGAGGCTCAGAGCGGTACTGGCTTTGTAAAGGGAAAGGCCTTCATTTCTTCGTTTATCCCCCCAGCAGCGCTGGAGAGCGAGGTGGCTTCAATAAGCCTGGTGGTAAGTTTTTGAGCATTACAATGGATAGTGTTAAAAAAAAAAAAAAAAAAATTGCAGTCAGTTTTTAGAACAAAGTGTAATTTTTATTAGTTTAAGTGGTTAAAATGACATATGCAACAAGACTGTAATGGGTACTGCCGGCAATGCCTAGGGGTATGCGGTTACAGGACACAGGGTAACGTGGAAGAATTGAGCAACCACTTCTGTAATTTGGGGAAAATAAATGGTTTGGATTTAATAAATTTTTTGTAAAGTAACTTTTTATTAATGAACGTAAAACTTGATTGGCCTGGTAAAGCATTAAAAAAAAGAAAAAAGTGTAATAGTGGTTAATGGTTTGAAAGGCTGCTAAAAATAGCAAACCGATCACCAAGTAAAAGGTGCATTGCTGATGTTTGTGCAATGCAGGTCAATTTGAGTTTAACCAGCGCCAGCGAATGGTGGTTATAAGTAGATAGTATTGTGTGTGTCGGTTCTTCAGCCTGCAAGGCGTGCACTAACACCGCTTCTTATGATTCTTTCCCGACTGGCAGGACACATGGAAGAAGGACCGGACCTCGATTTAGGTAATTGCCGATCCCTGGTGGGACTCTCTCCCGAGCTCGTGAAATTGAGACTTCTCTGCTCGGGAGGAGGGCTGCAGCCGCGGGAGACGATGCTCCCTTCTGTCAGAGCGCAAGGATGCTCTGCCATTCGCAGTCTCTTTCTGGCCGTTTCATTTATTTCTTGATTCCCGATTCATCGGAACAGCCGGACTGGTGGAAAACCGCACGTGTTTGTGAGACGCTTACGATCCTCCGCGGAAGCTCGGGGGGCTTTTGGGGGAGCTGCTCTGCAGCTGCTTGGTTCAGCCTCTTGTGCCACCCCTGGCCCGTTGCCGTGCAGCTTTTTCCTTCCTGTTGCACAGGCGCGTCTGGAAGTTATGCGTCAGCCTTCCAGGATCGGCACGTTGCTGCGGAAAGGGGGGGGTTAGCGCAGCGAAGCGGGGGCTGGAAATCCACGTGCGGGAGCCCGAAGGATGCGAAGGTCTTCCTCGCGTCTCATCTGGGATGTCTGCCGTCATAACCGAGCAGTTGAACTGCCCGGTTCTCCTCGCGCTGGCTGCGTGTGGGTGGCTGCGGCGGGAGAAGCGGCCGGCGGCGCCTGCCTGCATGGAGGCGGTGGTGGAGCCTCGCCCCTCTCGGTGCCTGGGTTTTCGGGTCGCTTCGTAAATACCCTCATTGAGAGCGAAGCCGCAGCTGGCCGAGGGGATGACGTGATGAAAAGTAGTCCGTTATGTTGTATCGCTGCCTTTCCTCTCCCTGCAATGACACCGTGAATTATCTTCTAGGCCCACCTATGGACCCAGACGAGGACTCGGACAACAGTTCGGTTTATGTGCAGGGACTCAATGATAATGTGACCCTGGAGGATCTGGCAGACTTCTTCAAACAGTGCGGTGTTGTCAAGGTGAGAGGGAAGAGGTGTGCGCAGGTCGGCCTCCAGCCGCTGGGGGAAAGGGATTGCCCGCCTCCTCCCTGCCTGCGCAAAGCTCGTCTCCGCTTTGCCCTTCGTTTCCAGCAGCCGGCAGGTCTCTGCCTGGTTGGGCAGGAGGATGGCCACAGCCTGGCGCTGAGCTGTAGCTCGAGTTTTCCCAAGGAACCTCTGCGGGATTAAGTGCAAGGTCCTGCACCTGGGTCGGGGCAATCCCCGGTATCAGCACAGGCTGGGGGTGAAGGGATGGAGAGCAGCCCTGAGGAGAAGGACTTGGGGGAGCGTGGCCAGCGGGGCGAGGGAGGGGATTCTGCCCCTCTGCTCCGCTCTGGGGGGACCCCCCCCTGGAGCCCTGCCTCCAGCTCTGGGGTCCTCAGCACGGGAAGGACGTGGACCTGTTGGAGCGGGGCCGGAGGAGGCCACCAAAATGGTCAGAGGGTGGAACACCTCTGCTATGGGGAAAGGCTGAGAGCTGGGGTTGTTCAGCCTGGAGAAGAGAAGGCTGCGAGGAGACCTTATTGCGGCCTTTCAATACTTAAAGGGGGCCTACAAGAAAGATGGGGACAGACTTTTTAGCAGGGCCTGTAGCGATAGGACAAGGGGGAATGGTTTTAAACTACAAGAGGGGAGATTCAGACTGGATATAAGGAAGAAATTTTTTACGATGAGGGTGGTGAAACACTGGCAGGGATTGCCCAGAGCGGTGGGAGATGCCCCAACCTTGGAAACATTCAAGGCCAGGCTGGATGGGGCTCTGAGCAACCTGATCTGGTTGTAAATGTCCCTGCCCATGGCAGGGGGGATGGACTGGATGGCCTTGAAAGGTCCCATCCATCCCAAAGCATCCTGTGATTCTATGATTTGTCCCTCAGCGGCGTGATTAGACTTGCGGAAGCGCCAGTGCTTCCAGCCGCGGAGGACGCGTGCCTCTGTGGATCCGCTGCTGGCGGGATGTGTGGCAGCATGAGGGGTCGGGGAGAGCGGGGGAGGACGCGGGGAGGCTGCAGCTTGATTCTTGCGCTGCCCAGTGCACACGGGTGCCGGCTGTCGGGGCGGG